ATTATTATTATTATTATTATTATTATTATTATTATTATTATTATTATTATTATTATTATTATTATTTATTATTATTATTATTATTATTATTATTATTATTATTATTATTATTATTATTATTATTATTATTATTATTATTATTATTACTTTTATTATTATTATTATTATTATTATTATTATTATTATTATTATTACTACTTTCTAAATTCAAATTCAAAGTGAATAGTCGTTAATTGTTCTAATAAAGTTTCCTTTACGGCTTGGTGTTATTATATTAGGTACCGTGCAACTTTTCTGATTTACAAGTATCGAAGGGTTTCATTTCATCCATACGGAGCTAAGCAATATGAGATTTCTTGTTCCACTTCTCCATATCGATTATCGAATTACTGAAATGATCATACTATTACAGGAAATATCATCCTTGTACGAAGTTCTCTTTAGTATTCCAGCAGGTATTGTAGATCCTTCTGAATTAAATCTAGCGGTCGTTCCACATTTCGTGCCACTTTCAAGACCTTTTGGTAATTTCAATTTTTAGTTTTCTGAGTTGCCGTCCAAGTGATTTTTCCTTTAACTTTCATATACTTCCCTCTATAGCTTCATTATTTTAAGATCTTCCATCACGGTCTGCGATTGTACTGGTCTGATTGCACTCGCAATGATATCTTCTCTATCAGATCAGTCATCTCGCACGTTACTTATTTTCACGTATAATCACTTTATGAACAGATAACGTCTTAGCCAAAAACATTTTTATGCTGGAATAACTGAATATTGTCCTTTACTTCATCGAAGATTTCAGTTGCCGTTTTCGAAAAGAGATCAGTAACAGTGATGGTTTACTGATCCCAGTGCCAAATTATGTCCAAAGATTTTATTTGATTTCATTCATGTTGCGACATTACTAGGAATACGGAAGTAGATCTTCTCACGCTTCAACTGAAGACAAAAATTAGTTCCGATCTGATTTGGTCATATACATTGCGAAACAAAAGCGCTTTGATAATAAAGACGAAGGCAGTTGAAAATAAATTACTTGCATACTGAAAGAAGAAATGAGGTTGCAAGCCAATTTGACACTGTATTTTTGCAAAAAATTCAATTAACTATCAACTAAGCAAACAATCCGTCAGAAAACTTCAGCTAAGTAACCAATATGTCAGAAGCCTGCTTCCATCCTCGCTAATATTTGTCAACATATCGGCTTGCAATGAATTCAAACTATCCAACGCTAATTTCTCCTTTGGATACTGGTAATAGTCACTTTTGAGTTGTGTGAAAATCTTTCAAATAGAAGAAGCTGTCACGCAATTGCTTGGAAAAAACAAAAAAAAAAACTCTTTTGGTTACAGTTAATTTGTGAGCAATAAACAGTTATACAAAAAGATCTTTTTGATTTCGATTAGAGTAAATAACCGGGAATGACAGCTTCTTACTATTGAAATTTTTGAGGATTCAAAAAAAGTCGTTCTTAAGGAATTAACAGAATTAGCATTGATGCCTAGCTCAAGCGCTGACTTCTACACCACGATCGGATAGTAGTAGTGGTGAAGTGAGTATATTCAGTAAGAAGTATGACAAAGGAAATAATAGTGGAAGAAATACAGAAACGGTGACCAATAAAACGGATGGCAGAAATCAGTAATGAAGGTTGTGGACGTGTAACTCAAATTTATTATCTTTAGATCGATTGCAAGTGAAATACTCCGTCAGAGTGTAAGTTTTCATTTTATCCATATCTTTAAAAAAAAAAAAAAGATTAAAAAAGTACTTCTTTAGAGAAGGTTGAGGAGGATTAATGTGAGAATGTCCTTCGTTTTGAAGATGCATCTCACAATTACAATAACTATTGCCATTCATCCACTCAGTATGCAAAAAGACCAATACTCGATAGTACTAGTGGAGAAGGGACACTGTTTCCACGAATTCAACGAAATTCAGCATTAATGTCATGTCACTGTCGAGGTTAATTACCATTAATTAGTGAGTCGGCAATTAAGCAATCCATTCATTCATTTGTCTGTTTGTCTTCCTCGTCCTTCTTCGCATTTGTGCCATCTCTACTTGCAATTCTTCCTACCTGACAGCCAGCTATAAATCGAACCTCTAACTTAGCATGTAAAATTGTTCCTTCTCCCTTCTACCTCCTATTCGTAGTTAATGTGTAAAAATTTTTGGAATTATTAGATTTTTCCTTTTTTCGTGAAATAACATTTGATGAGAAGAGTTGTCCTAGGAACTCCGCTAGTCCAAATAGGTCAACAGTGGTACCCCGAAGGTTGTGGAACCATTTCTGTGGGTTTTGAAGATCGCAAAAGATTTTTTTATTGCCTTTCGTGGTGATGGATTTATATTATTCCTCATTTTATAGGGTTTTGCCCACACAATTAGTTACAAATGCTAAGAGATACGCAATGGCAAAGGCGCTTTTCAAAATAATCACTGGGTTTGTCATGATTATTTCTCATTTGATGCAATCTGTCTCCGGAGGGTAGATTCAGATGTACAGTACACCATTCATTAAATCATTATTTCAGCGCACCTGCTGATTTGATGGTTTGAATTACCTGGCTACATCTCGTACGCACATTCTCCGAAGGATGAAGACCTCAAGATTCCTGGCATACGCTCCATGATTTCTAGAAACTCAACGTGATTTTCACATCCGATGATTCTTCCAGGCTGGAGTTTAGTGTGATCTTTTGGATAATTAATGAAATGGAAGGTGTAGGAGTAATTTCGATTACTATTTCATAGTCCCTAACTTTGCTCAGGTCTCTATCGTGTCGCCCTCTCACTTCCTCGTCTAAACTCTATCTACTCCTCTAAATTAAAAAAAAAAAAAAAAAAAAAAAAAAAACTAAAAATGAAGTGCAATTAATTTGTATAGCAGAACAACCACCAAGAGGAAGCGGGAATGATGTGAACGACAGAAGGATAGGCAGAAAAGAAATTAAATTTTTAATTTTATTTCTATTTTTAAAACATCGATTTTTTAAATTATTCGTCTTTTTCTCCCTTCCCCTCTTCTTCATGTACCCTTTCTCCTCTTAAGAGAGCAATTTTATTACCACAATACACTCAATGCATTTCTCCTTTTGTTTTGTCACTTCACTAAATTAAAAGCTAGTAGAGAGGAGGAGAGAGAGAGAAAATATATATATATATATTTTCTTTTCAAACGTAAATGCTTACTGGTCAGAAAAGTGAAGCGCTAACTCCATCACCGTGGGATCCAATTTTAACCTGATAAATTTATTTGCTAGTAGAAAGGCAAGCACATCCGAAGTGTATCACGCAAAGGACTATTCAAATTTCCCTTTTTGCCTATTCCTTAATGATGAACAAAAAAAGAATTTAGCGCATTTGGTTCTTAACCAGCAGGAGATAAAATTTCATCAAACAACTTAGGCTTACAAGCGCATACTCACTACATCCTATTAAAAAATCAGTTGCAGATATGCAGAAAATAAAAAAGAGAAAGGAATGATGAGGATCATCATATCTTAGAATAAGACGAAAAGAGGAGACATGGATGG